CCCCAATTTTCATTTCTTGTTTTCCAATATTAACTATTGAAAGACATTATCATTAAAGATAAAATGTTCCCAAAACACTAAGGTCCTGTTTGATTGCTAGAAAGGTATGAAATGGAATGAATTGAAAAAATAAAGGAACAAATAAGATTATCAAAATGTGGAGGGGATGGTTGAGCCATATTTATAATAGAAAAAGATAATTTAGTTCATGAAATTGAGAGTCATGATTTATGAGGTTTTGGAGAGTGTGATGATTTCCACATTTGTAGCATATAGTACTAATTTTTATCATGCTTGCCGTGAAGGGAAAGGGTGATTTAGTTCACTTTTATTTTGATTTTTCCAATTCATTCCATTCCTTATCTTTTCTAGCAACCAAACGGAATCTAAGTTCTCTAAATTTTTTTGAAGAGCATACACTATTGAATTTGAAGAATCTTGGAATTTATTTTTGCTGACAATGTTAATTGCTAGCACCGTCAGTCATAGGAGATGCAGAAACTTGAGATTGAAACTTTGTAATTTGATATAATCATGAAGACAAACAATTATGATGATTGATCAAATCTTTTATAGTCTAGATAATTGTAGGCTTCTCAACAAATTATTACTTCAAAATGAAGCCCTGACACTGTTTCTCCTTTAACTTGTTGGAATGTTGGATTCTGAACAAGTTAGAATTGTCTGAGCATGAACAGGGCATATGACAATCTCAATGACTTGTTATCTTAATATTTGGGCCTGAAATAAGTCCTTTCTTAAATTTTAGTGCTTAAGTTTGGTTTCAGAATTTCATTTCCTGTGTAAATTATAGTTGACTCTTGTGATTTGGCCAATAATTCAAGTGTCCTCGTTATGATTCAATGTGCATAATTTAGCCCATTGTGATTTGTTATGTTACTACATTAATTTTCTATCCAAATTTTAACAGAAATAGATAAGTTTAATGTTCAAGTCTGTTCTACTTGTAGTGGTAAAATGTTATTGTCGGGGCTAATTAGATGGTTTCAATTTCTAAACGTCAACTTAATCATTATTTAGTATATTTAAATGACCAAGAAAAATTATGGGTATGATATGATTTAGGCGATAAAATTCTTCATTGATCAAATAATGACTTATTGTTTTCTCTTAAAATAAAACCAAACAAATCACTTGGTGGTTAAATGGGAATGGAACGAACCATAGAGGTGTTGAATGACACTTTAAACTACTGAGAAAAAGCTAGTTCTGGGTCAAACTACGTGGGATTCACCTGTTTTTTATCCTTATTGCTATGAAGATGCTTGTTTCATGTAATTTTTTCATATCCCATGTAGGGTCCTTCTGTATAGCTATTCTTTTCAAACTAGAGGTGTTGAATGATACCTTTTCAACTACCGAGAAAAAGCTAATTCCGGGTCAAACTACATGAGATCAACTGTCATTTACCGTTATTACTATGAAGATGTGTTCTGTTTCACGTAATTTTTTCATATCTCCCTGAGGTTCTTCTGTTTGATCAATTATAGCTGTAAACATATGCCTCGGTGGTTAATGACAAGCTTTAAACTACTGAGAAGAAGCTAATTTTTGGTCAAATTATTGGGTATTCAACTGTCATTTATCCTTATTACTACGAACATAGGTTCCATTTCGTAAGCCTTTTTTTTTTTTTTTCCAATATCTCGTTGAGGTCCTTCAGTTCTATCTTTTTGATCAGTTATAGCTATTCTTGTCAAACTTGTCACTTGGGGTTTAGTTTGCAATGAAATGGTAAAACATAGAGCCATTGAATGGCACACTTAAAACTACTGAGAAAAGGCTGATTTCGGGTCAAACTACATGGAATTCAACTGTCATTTACACTTAATTATTATGATTTGTTCTGTTTCATCCCCCCCCCCAAAACCAATATCTGATTGAAGTCCTTCTGTTTGATCAATTGTAGATATTCTTTTCAAACTCCTGAAGCCTGGACCACTAAAGATGAGTACAGATCTCTGTGTTACATGCGCCCTTTAGCCATATGGGCAATGCAATGGGCATTGTCAAGAACAAAGCAAATGCACTATGATGGTAAATCTGATAAGAAAGAAAATGCATTGTCTAGATACTATGATGATGGTTTCTCAAGAGTTGCTCACCTCTTAAAGGTGAAAGAGGAGGCATCACCCAGGAGTCTGTTTCAGGTTATATTTGATTACACTTGCAAGAGGATGCTGTAAGCATGGCTCCAATCCATTTCATTGGCTTCTTTGTACCATGTATATTGATTGGGAATGATCCTGCCTTGTCTTGGTGGTAAAATGATCTTCATTTTGAGTAAATCTGACCTTTTATTAATTTGGATAGTTTAGATCTGTTCAGAATTTTTTTTTAAATTTTTTGATGAATGAATAAATCATCCAAATTAATTAGGAGGTCAAACTTGTCTCAATATGAGGCATTTTTTCTGTTACAAAAAAAAAAAAGACATGTCTACACATTGTTTTTATATCATTATAACCTTATTGGGTCATTTTATTGAAGTTATCCCATTTGTTTGATGGCATGTACCACATTGCACATCATTGTGATAGTAATGCAATTATAAGCGTAATTGGTTCGGGTGTGAAAGATGGCTTTTTTCCTTCTTTGAGTTTGATTTATATATAAATTAATAGTTAATGATAGTTCATTTATTTATGCTGCATAAAGAACACAAGAAAAGGAGTTTCCTTATTAAGCAGAATCAAAGGAGAAATTATTTTTCGTGACTAAAATATTCACTCAATTAAACCCCCCTTCCCCCAACACACAAGTCACTTTCTAAAGAATTTTGTGCTCCTAAATATAGTTTATAAATGACTTATAATGAGGACTTGAAAGAGTATATATTTTGAAATATGGTTAAGTACTAAATTTTTTTATTGGAGACAATTTTATTTGAAGCATGATCAAGTATTAAATGTGGGCACTTTTTTAATGAGAATTCAAACTTTAATTTATCATGTTACGAAAGACTAGTGTCATGAGTCCCACATTGAGGAACCTCACAAGTAATATAAGGTTTGTAAGTTCAATGGGCTTTTTCATCCAATAAGCAAGTTTGTTGGGTGGTGGTTCCATTCTCCTTTAGATTTATGGTCTTGGAAAAGGCCTTCTGCAGTCACGAAAAGGGTTTGGTGGTTCCATTCTCCTTTAGGTTCCATTCTAATCAGTCACAGTCGAGTGAAGTGCCATAAAGTGAAAGCCATTAAAATTATAGGTTTGGAAGGTATTCTTACTAAGCTAGTCTTTTGGAATAGGCTTTCCTTTTAAATTTTTGCTTTTTATATTAGTACTTTTACTGAGATGTCGATGTCACGAAAAGGGTTATCTACAAAGAGTTTTGACTAGCAAAAGGGTGAGTGAAGTGTCATAGAGTGGAGTCACCGTGGACGTCATCTTTTAACAAGGTGACATTGTCATGAGTCTCATATTAGAGAGTCTCACAAATAGTGTGGAATTTATAAGTTTAAGGGAAGCTCTCATTTGATAGGCTAGTCCGTTGGATGGTGATACTGCTCCCTTTGAGCTTGTAGTCTTGGAAAAAGTTGCCCGTGAAGAGTTTTGACTAGTTGCAGCCAAGTGAAGTGTCATAGATCAGGAGCTACTGAAATTATAGGTTTGTGGGGCACTCCTACTAAACTAGTCTTATGAAATGAGCTCTCTATTTAAGCTTGTGCTAATTATATTCAACCAAACTTAACTTCAATTGGTTAGAGGGGATACATGTTAATTAACATTTTTCTTTTTTTTTATACATATTACACTGTATTTTTTCCCACGTATCGGATAGATAATAGGTTGAAAAAAATATGAAGCATTAAATTACTAGTATTATACTCCTTTTCTCCTATTTTATAGGGTATTTTTTTCTTTGACAAAATTACATAGTGCATATTCTTGACTTTTCTATAAACATCCAAAAAATACCCTCCATTAAGAAGAGAGTGAGAGAGGAAAAGAAATTTACTTAAAGAGTGAAATAATAAAGAGTAATATTGAAATAATTATTATTAATGAAACTTTATTTTTAAAATGTCTTACATTTTCGAACATCAAATTACTTATAAAATGGGACCAGGGGAGTATATATTAGGGTTTATTATTGTTTGAATTCCTATACAATATTTTATTATGATTATTAATTATGAGAAATGGTAAAATTGGAGATTAGCCTTGAATTCTCAACTCTGCTTTTTATATTTACCTTTTTAATGCAAGTATTGTATGAAAATGAATTATAAGAATGCAATCCGTAAAAACTAAAGCATTAATTAATTCCTAAAAAAGAAAAGTTGAAGTGCATCATGGAAATAGAAAAAAAGAATTGGTTTAATACTTGGTGAGAGAGCTTTGCCATCTTTTTAGGTTTTACTTGACTTAATTCAAAAAAATCTAAACCACATTATGCCCTCTAATTGAAGCAAATAGATTGAAGATATTGGGTGATCCAATCAAGTCAATCTAAATCATATAACTAGAGTTAGGTTCAATTTATTTTTATATAAATTAAATAAATTTTATCTCACACAATCCTTGTGGGTTGGTGGATTAAATAGGTCAATCTACCAACTCACCAACCCACTTTTTTGTTATTTTTTTAAATCAATCTTAAATAATAAGTTTTAATGTGATATTTGTATAATTAAAAAAATTCATATCATAAACATACAAGATAGATAAATTCTATCATGACATTTCAAATCTACTTGTATTGTAAAGTTGCATTGCCGAAGTTCTCTGCATTTTTTATTTTTTAATTTTATATATAGTTTATAAATAATACGAGTTAAACGGGTTTCAATTCGCAAGTTATTTGATTACGGTTAGATTCATTTTTGTCTGTGCCAAAATTCACGGCAATTCTCCCTAAAATAACCCGCCATCCTTTCCCGCCAAATTCACTTCCCTCAAAATCTAGCTGTATTTTATTTATTTACATCTGAACTTAAAAAAAAAAAAAAAAAGGCTTTGCGACGCCCAAGCCCTGGCTAGCCCCAAGCAGGCCATTCATCATCACTATCTCTATCGGTCATCGCTCATCACTCTCAGTTTTTCCCCTCCCTACTGTCGGCATTTGTCGGCAATTGCTCTCTGTCTCTAGAGCAGCGGCATTACAGCACGTTCGGCAATTTCCCTTGGCTTCGCACTGATGTAACACTGCTTCTGCTTTGAATTTATGGCTTTGTTTTTACCTCAAATTCTTTATCTTCCATGTTGTTGAACGCTGACTCATTAAATGTTGTCTTTTCGGACACTGGTGATCTTGTTCGGTAATGATGATTCATTTCATTTCAGCATAATAATAAATTAATAATCTCAAACCTGTAATGGTATTTGTCTTGTATTTTCAAGAATATTGGAATGTTAGTTACCTAGTTTTTGAGCTTCGCTTCTTTATGCTGCCCACGTATTGGTTTAATCTAAAACGTTGAAATGCTTATATATGTTGTTTCTTCTGAAATAACCTTAGTACATTAAATAGGGATATACATTTGTTGTGCGTTTGAAAGTTCTGAATTATGCTCTTGTTGTGTATACAATTATATATTGATTATAGGTGAGTTGCTGCATAAGTTATGCTATTTAGTTTATAAACTTGCGGTGATGGTGTATTGCTTTCCTCCCACTTGCAGTGTAAAATTCATCTTCCTCGCACAATTAATGCTCATGTGGATGTTGGTAATGCGGATGATTGCAGACAAATTGTGAATAAACAATCCCTTCATCCTTCTTGTTGAAGTGAATTGTGAATAAACAATTTTTCCTCCTCAAAATTGTGAGTAAACAATATGGTTCTTTCGATCTCTTGGGTCATATCTCTAAATTTGTAGTGCTCCCAAAATATCACAATATCGGTGGCATGATGTTGGGCCCAACAAAAAATCCCAAGGGTAGACAAATCAATTATAGCCGTATTCGACAATGCATTACTATGGGTATCATTGAGCATGATCTTCCTTATTCCTTTGTTGAGTACGAAGGGTATAGGGCTTTACTAGAGTATTTGAATCCTGATATTAAGCACATTAGTCGAAGCACTGCTATATCAGATGTTTGGGAATTTTATCTTAGTCAAAGGGAAAATTTGAAACAAATCATGTCAAAGAGTCCCGGTAGAGTATGTTTAACTTATGATTATTGGATCACGATAACTACTGAAGCATATGTTTGCTTGACCGCTCATTTTGTTGATGAAAATTGAAAACTTAATGGCAAAATACTTGCTTTCTGTAAGGTGGTGCCTTCGGACTGGGAGTTTCAATTGGCTGAAAATGTGCATGAATGCTTGATGGATTGGGGGATTGACAGGAAATTATTTTCTATTACTTTGGACAATGCTTCAATGAATGATAATATGAAAGATGTATTGAAAGAGAGGTTGAGTTCACAAAATCACTTGATATGCAATGGGGACTTCTTTCATGTAAGATGTTGTGCTGATATAATGAATTTTATGGTTCAGGAGGGCTTGAAAGTAATAAGCGTTGCTTTACATAAGATTGAGGAGAGCATTAAATATGTGAAAGCATCAGAGGCGAGGATGATTAATTTTAGGCAATGCGTTGAGCAAGTTGGGGGCATTGATACCTCAATAGATTTGCAATTGGATGTGTCTACTGGAAGGAATTCTACATATGCAATGTTGGAAAGTGGGATTAGATATCGCCATGCTTTTGCTAGATTGGCTTTAAATGATAGTAATTACAAGTGTTGCCTATTAGATGAAGAGTGGAAGAGAGCAGAGGAAATTTGCACTTTCTTGGAGCCATTTGAAGTGATTACAAACTTGATGAATGGGTCATCTTACCTGATTTCAAACATTTATTTCATGAAAATGTCAAAAATTGAGATGTTGCTGAAAGAAGATGTGATGAATGTTGATCTTGTGATTCAAGATATGGCTCGTAGGATGAAAGAAAAGTTTGACAAATATTAGGATGATTATCGTGTGATCTTTGCACTTGGGACTATTCTTGATCCGTGATTGAAGCTTGAATTGATAAAGCACTGTTATTCATTACTTGACCCTATAACTTGTCATGCAAAGATTGAAACTATCAAGAGTAAGTTATATTTTGTTTATAGTCAATATAAAGATATTGGTTCATCATCCTCATATCATGGCATTGAATGTGAGTCAAGTTCTAAAGCATCAATGTCAATACCAAATCCACCTACCCTTGGTGCAAGGCATGAAGAACTTTTCACAGATGTTTTTCGTGTAAGCTTGATGTTCTATGATAATTAAATTTAATTTATGTCTTCTTTACTGGAATTTTTTTTTGGGGTGGATTTGAATTAAATTTGAGACTCCTAATGCCATTTTAATTGGTACTTTATTAATATTTTACATGATGCAGGATTATCTTGATTTTAAGACTAGAGATACTGCTTCAGTAGGAAAGTCTGATCTTGATTATAATTTGGAAGAAGCAATACTTGATCCTAACTCATTTCAAGAATTAGATGTCTTGGACTATTGGAAGACTAATCAGTTTTGATTTTCACATCTTTCAAGGATGGCATGTGATATCTTGAGCATTCCGATCACTACAGTGGCTAATCAATCAGCTTTTAGCATTGATTTACATTTTTTCACAAAGTATCGAAGCTGTTTCCTTTCAAAGAATGACCAAGCTCTTATTTGTGTCCGTAATTGGTTGTATGGTTTTAAATATAGTGGTAATATACTAGCATTTTGTCATTTATCACATATTTTATTTTTTTTAATTAAAAGCATTTAAGCAAAGCTAGTAATGTTATGCCTCTTTGATTTATTTTTCTTTTGGCAAGTGATGGAATTGATGGTGAGGATCAAGATTAATCTCCATGAGCGATGCTGAAGAAGATTAGGTGATGAATTTATCAAATCAAGGTATTTAGATGATTAGGCGCAGGAACAAATATTTGCATTGAAAGGTTCTTGGAGAATTGGGTTCCATGTTTGTGCTGGTTTGTAGAAACGAAATGGAGTGTTTTGTATAAGCTGTATAAAGATGTATAAGTGATGCTGTGATGGCTTACTTAAAATGTGTAAAACTTGGAGTCGGGACAGCCTACTTTTCTAATTCTAATGAAGAAAGTATTTTGTCACTTCATTTGATATGTAAAATGCATGTGTCCAAAGGTTATGTGGCATAAATATGATATTGATAGGTTCAGTTACTTTGATCAGTTAATTTGATAGATAGGATTTGTGACAATAAAAGAAATATGGTAGAAGTTTCATGACCTTAGCATAAATTATGTGTAAGATTCATTTTCATGACAATATTGGAATGGATGTGTGGAATGGATGTGAAAATGCATGTGGAAAATTAGGAGTAAAAGATAACCATAGAGATATGGTGGTTGAAGAAAGAATAGGTTCTTAAACATTCACCTTAACGTTAATGAAAAAAGATGTATGAAGATAATGGCTTTGAACAAGTGTAGTTCACTAACCAAGATTTCCCTATTGATGATATTATAGAGTATAGATGTCATGCTCACTTTAAAATTGATCAATAATTTCTAAATTAAGTTTTATAAAGTGAGAATGAGAGCAGACAGTGGACAACACCTTGTTCATAGCCTAGACCAGTGTGCCCTAGTACATTGGTAAGATCGAGTGACCAAACTAGATAAACACCTCTATATACAAGCGTAGATAAGTAGAATATTTTTCCATTGAAGTGCCATAATTTTTTTCATTTGGTGTTGTAAATAAAAGTCCTTGATATGAGGATTTTATTAATGAGCAATTTATAAATATTTTTGTAATTGTAAATATTTTTTGAGTTTAAAGACATGTCTTAAGCTTAGTGAATTTTAATGCCCATTTTACTTAATAAAAAAAAGCCGTTGATATGTTGCGTGTGCCATGTATTCAAAGATAACATTAACATAAAAAGAGATGTTGAATTCATAATGAAATAAACTAATAGTTAAAATATATTTTAGTCCTTCAACCTTATATAAAGTTTTAATTTGATTATTTAATTTTATAAAGTATCTTTTTAATCATTTAACTTTAACATTATTAATTTTAAATGATTATTTTTTGTACTAATCATTGTTATTTAAAAAAAATTAAATTTAATATGTTAACATTTGAGAATGATTTGTCAATAGTTGAAAGTTTAATATAAAAATTTCTTAGAATAAAACTAACAATATTAGAATTGAAAAACTAAAAAGATACTTCATAAAATTAAGGGGTTAAAATAAAATATTATATAAAATTAAAAAAACTAAATGTATATTTTAGCCTAAATCAATTATTTTATTTTGTTAATAATATTAAAAGCATACATACATACATACATACATATATATATATATATATATAATATCAAACTTCCGTAAAGAACCATATCATCAATTAAAACCAAAGTTGAAATATGAGGCAAAGTTAATGAATCAAATTGAAATTAAATAAAATTAAGATAAAAAATAAAATTAAATAAAATTAAGATTAAATTGGAATAAGAAATTAAATACCAAAATCGAAAGATAAGATAACATTAAAAGATTAAGGTGGAATAAAATAAAATGAATGGATTAACGTGAACTCTCAAATAAATTTTTGGGACTAAAAGTGTTTTTTTTTTTTGTTTAGAAATTTTAAACTAACGGCTTGTACCAGATCTCCATGTCCGAGTCCTATATATAGTTGCAAATTCTTCCTCTGAATGACCTTCGAGCGATTACCCACTTGTGAAACAGAGGCTTCTCTCTAACAGAGGGCGGTTTTCCCGATTCGTGGGAAACCGCTCGACCCTTTGGATTTGGCACCATTTTCAAGGTTTCTCTCCGCTGTACAATAATGTTAGATTTGATTCAAGTTTTGTTTTCTTCTGTATTTTCTAGAATTTTTGGAATTTTCGTGGTGTTGGAAGTGATGAATCGCTTGTTCAAGTTTGTATGTATGTATGAATATTTGATCAATTTGTTCTCCGTCCTCTAGAGCGTGCTTTTTTAAAGCCTCTATGTATGAATGTGTTATTTGGATTTTTGTTTCCCCAGATTGTATGCGGGATATGCGGCAACCTGTATGAATTTTGAAATACTACAAGTTTCATATTTCGAATTGGGGATTTCTCAATTCGAGATTGATTTCGTTAGCTGTAATATAAAGAAACGTTATGGCCGGAGTTGCCCCATCTGGATCTCCCAAACAAGGGGAATGGATGAAGGGGAAATTGGTGGGATCAGGATCTTTTGGAACTGTTCATTTGGCCATGAGCAAATCCACAGGAGGACTCTTTGTTGTTAAATCAGCACATTCCAGGGCTGAATTTGCGGCTTTAGAGAATGAGGTTGAGATTCTCAAGAATCTAGAACCATCTCCTTATACAGTCCAATACTTAGGGTCAGAAAGAGATGGAGATGATCTCAATGTTCTAATGGAGTACATGGCTGGGGGTAGTTTGGCTGATATTGCAGAGAAATTTGGCGGATCATTACAAGAAGATGTGGTTCGTTTGTATACAAAAGAAATTCTTAAAGGCCTCAAATATCTTCATGGTAATGGGATTGTGCACTGTGACCTTAAGTGCAAGAATGTGCTTCTGGGGTCTTCTGGGGACATCAAATTGGCAGATTTTGGATGTGCAAGGAGGGTGGAGGACTTGAAAAATAAATGTTTGATGAAGAAAAAGAATAACAAGTCTTTGGAACATGTTAGTGGGACCCCTCTATGGATGGCTCCTGAAGTTTTGAGGAATGAAAAGCTTGATTTTGCTGCTGATATATGGTCTTTGGGATGTACTGTTATTGAAATGACTACTGGTAGGCCTCCTTGGGGTGCTTCTAATTATGATTCAAACCCAATGGCTGTTCTTTTGAAGATTGCCTGTGGTGATGAGATCCCTCAATTCCCAACCCATTTCTCGAAGGAGGGTCTGGATTTCTTAAGGAGATGTTTGGAGAGAGACTCAAGAAAAAGGTGGACATGTGAGGAACTTCTTAGGCACCCATTTATCTCAAGGGATTCATCTGAAACAACACCACCATCTTCATCCAAAGATACTGCTTCCTCACCAGTCTGTGTGTTGGGGATTTCAAGTTTTGAGGGTGCTTATGATTTGGATGAACCAGAAAGTCCAGAGGGAAATGATTTCTCAGTCAGAAACCCGTTCACATGTTGCAAAGATGGAAGAAAAGGAAGTGAAATGCAAAGGCATGGAGAAGAATGTGGATTATGTTCATCACAGAATTGGATTACTATCAGATCATGAGAATGGGGACTCAGATCCCTTCTACGTAAAAAAGGACTAGTGAAGAAAGAAATAGAAAGAAGCATAGGATCCATCCATCAATGAGGATCTCACTTTCTGTTTTTGTTCTTACTGTCTCCTATCACCAGAAGAAATTCTTCTGTTGAGAAATGGAACAGCTATATAAAGCAAAGGATGGAAATGTACAGCCAATAAGTAGGAGAAAGAGAGTTTTTCCTTTGGGCTCTCTTCTCATCTATTAGTCATACTGTTTTCATTTTTGTTACAGAAGAAATAGATTTGTTCTTCTAATCCCTCACTTGTAAGTATAGAAAATAGGAACTGTTCTATATTGTATCATATAAATATGGACCCACACAAATGTGGATTCTTGAGTGGTTTGTTGCATTTCTAAATGGGTCATTAATCTTGATTGTCAAATGAATAAATCATAGTCTCCTTGTTACTATTTTATTTTTCATGTTTTGCTTCATTTGAGTTTTGTTTTTATTCAATTAAAAAATGATAATGCTAATTATATCCTTCTGAATTCTGGTTAGTGATTGCTACTTTCATGTTATGTTCTTTCTTAACCATACAAAATTTATTGTTACCATAAAAAGACATGAGAGGTCACCATAAAAAGGGGGAATTAAAACATTTATTGGTTAATATTTTCCATCGTTACAAATTTCAGATATCTGTAAAAGTATATTTTTTATTAAATTACTACACGTCTCTTTTTATGGAAAAAATCAATCTCTATATGTCATGAAAGAAAGCTTGTGTAATCAAATAATCTTTTAAAAATTGACAAATTTACACATTCAGGGTCCTCTTTGTAGAGTTCACTAAATGTTAATTTATTTCCTGCAGAAATCTTTCTTCAGAAAATATTTCAGAGGAAAAACAAATAACAAATAATTTTATGAACAAAAAAGAAAGAATGACAGAAAAATACTCTTAAAATACTTAAATAATAATTAAATATCTTAGACTTGCTGGTGAATTATTTTTAATGTGAAAAAGACTATTTTAGAAAATAAAAAATAATCACCAGACGTCCAGACCCAATCGCCCGGTCAGATTCACGGCACAGGTTCAGACCACAGGGACGATGGATCTTTGGTCCTGGCACTCCTATCAGGTCCAAATATCACTTCCCAATCTTGGAGGCATGGACGAAGCATCTCGTTTTTATCACTTGCTATCAGTTATACATGAAACCCTCCAATATCTCATCATCTTCCTTGAAGTCTTCTTGAAACCTTAATTTAAGAATCTTACTTCCTTAAGCTCTTGGATCTTGTTTCTCTCTATACTGGCGAACCTCCGTCAGTGTTGAAATTCATAGAGTTCATATTATAATCCCTATCTTGATCATTATGAACATAGCTCCAAACTTCTTCATGTCTCCACACTCCACGATCGTTTTCATCATCCTAGCTCTGCTCGGCTTCTTCAGATCTAGGCTGTCGGAACCCAGCCCTCTCCCTTCCACGTCCGGCCGGTCACCACCATGGCTTTCGTCGTCAGCATTCTGGGTTATTACCTGTCGTTCTTAGCTCGGAGTTGAAGAATGGCTTCAGGCTTGAAGAATCAAAAGCAAATAAATAAGAGAAGTATTGAAAGGCATCTGGATGAAGAATTGAAGACTGAAGAGCAGAGCATGCAAACTAGAACCCACTGGGCAGCAACGACAGCGATGCTGAGAAGTGATGGAAGAACGGCGACGCGCGGATGGTGAGAATTGAGAGAGGCCGAGCGACTTAACTAGTTAACCATGACGGCAACGGCAACTTGCGAAACCGAGAAGAAAAGCGTCCGACGGCGACAGGTCCAAATATCAGCATGGGGCAAATACGTCATTGCACATAAAACCAAAATGCCTTACAAGTTTTTAAGGTCCATAAAATAATTAAATCATAATACATATTTATTATTTACATATTTTAAAAATAAAAATAAAAAAATAGACGGGCCTGACTCCTTAAAGCCAAGCCCTTAAGAGCCCAAACTTTAAATCTTATTTTTTAAATTTTTATCAAATTTTGAGACCTCACTTTTATTAAAAAAATTTAAGGTGGAACTTAAAAGCTTTATTTAAAAAAATTAATATTATAATTTAATATTTTATTAGAAATTAATTTAATTTAATGTTATAATATTTAACATTATAATTTAACTTTAAAATTTAACAAAAACAAAGTTAAGCTGTCACATCATTTAGAAAATAAATAAAAAATTTAAAAATTTAAATATATGTCAATTGATGCCATTAAAATTCATAACAAAGTTTCAGAAACCAAATATATGAGATATATTAATATAATCCTCACATAATAAGATGAGGGATTAGAATTTTTAAATCAAATTGAAATCTTAGAAGCAAGTACCAAATAAAAATATCGGACATCCATGATCTAAAAAAAAAGTTTATGCTTAAAGAGGAATTACTTGAAAATAAGAGAGTCAAAAAGCTAAAGTAATAGAATGTTGAGAGAGAGACGCTAAATCAAGAGATGAAAGGGAGAGGCGAGTTGAGAGACAGAAAGAGTCAGAGGGCAAGCATTGAGGCAACAGGCAAGACAACTTGAAGAAAGAAGAGGGTGAGAGAAAAAGGTTGAGTTGAAAGACTAAGAGAGTCAGAGAACTTAAAATGGTTGAATACTTAGAATTTTTTTTCTCATTTGTCAAATGGTGTTTTCTAAGGTAGAGGAAAAAAATAAAACAAGACTTGAAGAGCCACCCAAGCCTGAACTCCTTTTTTTCATGACTTATCAGGGTTAGGCCTAGAAGTCCAGTTACCCTAAAAGTCTCCCATTTTTTAAGTCCAAATCCTTATTTAAATAAGACTTTTAGGTTCAGCTTTTATTTCTAACTCTATTTAGAAGTGTTTTATTATCATTCTCGTGAAAAAATAAACCTCCTATCCACCAAGATAAAAAAATAGTTTTTTAACCATTAGATAAAATATGGTTATTGTTTAATAATGATAACATCAATATAATGAATATCATATGTCTCTCTTTATGTACCGGAAAAATAAAATTTAAGAAAAACATAATTTTTTGATTCCCGTATTTTACTTACTTTTATTATTAGTTTTTGTACTTTTTTCAGTATTTTAGATCTCTATTTTTATTTTTTATTATTTTAGTTCCCTCCATGAAGTGTAGAGATCTTGGAAAGATCTAAAACAATTAAAAACAAAAATATAAGGACCTAAAACACTAAAAAAAAATATAAAATTAAAAATAAAATACGAATAAAGTATAAAGACTTAAAATTATATATATTTTTAAAAATTCATGTAGTTAAACTAGCAAGAAGGAAAAATAAGTAGGTTGAACTGAACAAAATCCCCAATTCCCTGTTATAGTCTAGAAAGTTATGAGCATAGGGAAGCGAGTGTGCGAATTGGTCAGCACACAACGCTTGAACATCATATCACCAACAACGCATTACTATGAATCCATCTTTTAAATAATTTGTTATCATGGAATATGACCCTGGATATGGTTTTGAGAATATGGGTTAATCCCTTCTCGTTCCTTTTTCCTACCTGTAGACTTGTTCCTCCGTTTGTAATTCAAAAAAAAAAAAGTCAAAGACCATAAAAAGTCAGTGTCCTTGGCCTAAATCCTTAAGGTTCATATAATGATAGAGAGAAAGACAAATATATAAGGTACTTGTTTTTAGTTAAATCAAGATAATAAAATCTTTTAATTATTAATTATTCTATAATAAACTATTATTATTAATATTATTAACACATTAACATTACTTATCTTCATTTGATTGAAAAAAATATATTAAATGTATAAAATTAAGAGCCTGATTAGTTATTGGAGAGGGATGGAATGGAATAATTTATAAAGAACAAAATAAACAAAAATAAAGTTGTGAAATGATAGAAAAATGAAAACAATAGAAAAATAAAGTATATGGAGTGATGGGCATGAATGGGGATTACCTTGAAGAACACCATCAATACCCATTCCTACTTATCTATCACTCCAAAACTATCAACTTTCTATAATTTCCATCTTTCTATCAATATAAAACCTTATTTTAACTTATTTTGTTCATTATCAACACATTCCATTCCTTTCTATTTCATTCCAATAACTAAATGAGCCTTAAATATCTAATTTTTTTTGTCCTTTTTTTTATCAATCTCCGAATGTATTCCTCACATTTTTATTATAAAAATTTATTTCATAGATTAAGTTAAAATTAAAGTCTTATAATAAAGACCAAGAGAATATTATTTACAGGAAGTCTCAGTTTATGAAATAAGAATTTAGGAATCATCACACATGCCTCAGACATTCCCCTGAAGCTCACTTTTGTCCGTAAGAAGCAAATTTCATGCTCTAACCTCCCCCAAACAGGGTGGTCCAAATTTGCATGCCCATATATAGTGATTTTCAAGTGTTAAGCTCTAGAATTTTTCTTATACTGTTCTACTTGATGTACACACGACTTGATGGGTTAAGCATAAGTTGCTATTTTTTAATCTTCTGAAACATGTAGCTGACGATAGCTCTTTTGTTCTATGAATAAAATTGATAACTTTATTACCCGACCCCACAAAAAAAAAAAAAAGAGTCATGAATTTTGAACCAGATGGTGCCTTCCACCTTAGAAACGATAAATGAATAAGGAAAAGAGAAAAGACATAATAGGCTAATAGCTCAAAGTTCAAAGCTTCACTTGATGTGCCCTTCCTGGGACTATTATCAGTAGGCACACACTACAAATACAAAGTGCAATAACCCTATAATTCTTAGTTTGTACCTGCATATTCATGGTATCACTGAAACAATCTTTAGCCTAAGACAAAATGTTGTCCATTATGGAATTGCTTTCTTTGAGTATCACCCAAAGTATTGATTTCTCAAGAAGTCATTATACAGCCTCTGTACATGTTTGAATATGCTTTTCTAAAGCCAACTTCAGGAACTACATCTTCCACCTGCACGGCCCAAAAATCACCCAAATTAGCATGCAGAAATGAATCCTCAGGATTAAGGATTTATGAAGTTTTCTGAAATTTGATTAATTTAGTGTTTTTTTTAATATCTATATATATATACATATTATGTAATCTTTCTTGATTAAGAACACTTGAGCAAAATTCATGGATCTTTGCTTCAGAGAATTCATGCTACAAGAATATCAATTCTAAGAAGTGTGCCTACACCATTCCATGGTCAATCAGAAATATTACACGGGCTGAAATGATAGCTTCCTGTAGGATAGAATACATCATTTTTAAACAAGCATGGTCCAACCCGACCAACAATAATATTTAAATTGAACGTGTTGATATTCGGCATTTTCCCTCAAAATGTATATGACATCATAACAATTTGATACAGTTCAATTATAAACAGATCACAAATACATACTAAATATCTATGCTAATTACTTGAAAGGTTTTCAAATCCAGAACATTCCTCCTCCGATAGAAAAGAAAACTTTCTTATTATGCACAGCTAAGGTTAGCAAACTTTCGCAAGCATTATCGTATGATCGAGAAGTCAAGTCAGGTAACTATAAATGGCTCAACCACATGACCCAGAAAAGATGAAGCTCAAATTTTGGAAGATTAAACCAAATGTAGATTGAATAATTCAAATCGAATGTCCAGCCTGGCCAATACAAGGCTTCGCATATACTTTGAATGCGTCTTTCAACCTCATCAATATCGTAAAAACATAAGTAGTTCAGACAGCTGCACTGCTCACAACACTGCAACTCATTTCAAACTCCATGCAAATGCAGATGGCTCGTTTTAATTATTCATGCGGAGCAAAAAGATGAAAGCAACTAGTTTTTTTTCCATATACGTAGATAAAGATCTTAAGATTCTCGATCACATGAGATTGCCTATTGAAGATAATTTATATATTTCAGATTCTCTTAATTCGTTGAAAAATGAAAATCCTGTGATAACAGTGCTTGCATTTAGCATTTCTTCCTTTTCCTCCGTTTCAGATTCTCTTAATTCTATTAAATCACCATTACCATATTTATCGACAAGAGAAGACAATCTGCAAACCAAACTTTACAAACTCATGGAATCCCTCTTAATTCCATTCCTTAAGGGCCCGTTTCTTGCAACCAAAAATGCCCTTATTTCTCTCCAAGAAGCTTTGAATAACATGGGTTTCCCTAAAAGGAAAACCTCTGTCATGCGAGATAACATAAGCTTCTTTCATTGGACATCACTCTGGCCTCACCACCATCCCAAGATACTTGTAATTTGGAGTTCAATGTCAGATTATATCTTTACCAGCTCAAGAAATGGTAGAGAACCCGGTCTTCACCAGCATTGCATTAAGAAAAATCTTTTTGTGGACTTCAATAGGTTTGTGAACATCTAAAACAAACCCTTCCTTTCAATCCTTAAGGAAATCCCACAACCAACTCATTGCATCTTTCCCTAGGCACTTGACACCCTAAGAGTTAAACCACCCTTCTACAAAATTCTCCTATTTTGAAACTACGTTGCAAGAACGTTGTAACATTGGATCTATGTTTGTTAGGAGGGAAAGGGACCTAGGAAACTGGAAAGAGATCTCCAGCCAAACTCCTTGCCCATGAATCCATGATCAAAGTAAGCTTCTGAAAGCACTAAGCAATACCCAAACAGCCATTCTCCATGTTATGCAAATTAGCCAAAGGTATCTTGAAATTATTTGTCCAACCAATCGAGATTTTGGTATAAATAATCATTTCAAAACTAAATAAATGAATCTATATCTATTATGAACATTCAAAGAATAGCATACAAGCACAGTAGGCTATATAAATCGTATCTTCATTCTACAAAGTCATCAATTTCTAGGATGGCCTTTACAAATAAAATACGATCAATTTCATTGGCATAATACGAATCATAAGCATTTATAGCCCTATCATGTTAACGCATCCAAACTGGCAGTTTAGAAAGTAGTAAATCAATCATGGATCCTTCAATTTAACTAGCTGATTTTATCACCAAGGATCTTAATGACAAATACCACTGCTGTGAAACAAATGTTAAGACAACGGACAACTCTGTACCTTACAAATTCACCGAAATCAGATATTTAACCTCCCTTGCGCTCTTCCTTGGTGCTTCTGTCACAAAGGCACAAATTGTGAATGAGGTCAAATTTGCCATTGCATTTCCATATCAGATTTACAAAAAGTTCTTGAGCACTCAAAATGTACTAGAACTCAGCTTAGTTGGCTTCCACCAACACATAGAAAAATTTGGATGTCCTCATGAAATGGCGAGAAAAATTTGGATGTCCTCATGAAATGGCGACTGCCAACAGAGCAGGGAACTGATGTGTTATTTTATGGAATTTTCTTACATGAAATTATGTAGAAACAACATGCCAAACAAATATTAACGCAGGGGAGATAGTGGATAACTCCAGCTGAGTTTGATAAGTTTTTTTTAGTTAGCATAATGTATAAACCATTTTTGCTTCAAATGTGTAACATCTAATAATAATATGTTGAACTAAAACAGATTCCAGAATGTCAATATAAGAAGAACATATCAAAGGTTAAAAAAAAAATGTTTAATGAGACAGTTTTACTATGTACAAATAAGCTTCACTATGTTCATAAAAATTAAGGGGGGAAAAGCTATGGTTCAACAAATACCTTTAGGTATTCCACCTTGAAATCTTCAGCCGCAGATCCACTGGACAAGAAGGTTATGACCTCGCCAGGAATGGTGAAGGAGTCATGTGGCACTTCAACTTTTAAAACTTTCATCCTACTAAAAGGGGAAGGGCAGTGCAGAACATCAAGAAACTTGGAAAGCATCTGCACAGCCAGAGAGCAAGAATTTCACAATACCACAAACAGAAACAAAACTCAGACCATTAAAAAGAAAAAGAAAATAGACAACAAAAAAACAAAAGAACGTGGGCAAAGTATATTACACTCACAATTATAGTTTCAAAAGATAATGCGACAATCTCTGCACCACCAACTGCCCGAAGCATTTCAATCAAATGCAAAATGAACTTCCTTTTTGCCAATCGTACGGTGCCAAATAGATCATCGGCTAGGGCAGCATCGACATCTACGTTCTCAATGAAGGGAAGTGCCGGAATGGAGAACTCGAGAATATGGGACTCAACGAATTTGAAAGATGTTATTTTCGTTGAAGTAAGAACAATCTTACAGTTTGGATTAACATTTCGACTATGTTCTATCCTTGATACTGTTAAGTTGGTGAGCTGAGGCGCAGAAATTTCAAAAATTTTAACTCTAGACGGAATCCGACAATCACTTATCACTAAGTTTTTCAAATTGAAACAACATTGAAAAGGATCCAAGGTACCTTCCCCGTCCAGTATAAAGGAACATTTCACAAGATGCAAAGTAGTCAAGGTAAGAAAATCCAGGTTTGTCTTGGGCAGAATAATAATTTCACGCAATTCAAGGGTTTTCAACGATTGGCAATAGAAAAGCTGGGGCAATTCATCCACAATGCGAGGAAAATGAAGGCTCAAATGTTGAACCCCATGATCGACAACATGATGGATGACCCCCTTCACAAGAGGCTCAAACAAATCATGGCTATCTATGCACATTTGAATAGAAGAATAAATGGGGTTCGATATATCGAACAAGAACTTGCAAATGCTGATAGAGACGTCTTTGCGAGCAAGAAGAGAGACCACGAAATTCGAGAAGGAAGAGTAATAACGAAAGGACTCGCTATCGATGGTGAGAACGGGAAGGGAAATCCAGAGGTACCTCAATCTCTTGCACACAACACTGGTTTGGACTGCAATCTTGGTATCGAGAAAGGAGAGAATGTATTGAAGGATTTCATCGGGGAGACTAGTGAGCTTGTCCTCCATCATCGTCATCTCTGGCTCTGCTTTGCCCATTTCTGGGGTCTCAACCAATTCCGTCGCAGTCGTCGCCATTTCCCAACTCAATCCGAATCCGATCACGGATTTTGATAAATATATGGCCGAGAAATATAAATGGGACTGGGAAAGCGAATAATTATAATTTTATTCAATCCCACACGTTTCAAGTTTCGTGACTTGCGTGAAATATATTATAATTTCAATTAACCAGTCGCGTTTGTCGTGAAGTTTGAGATCATTTTTTATTGTACTAGTGGAGTTAAACTTTGGAGAGAATTACGTTTGAATTCTATATAAAAAAATTAATTATTATAAATTTTATTTACAATTAAATTACATTGTGTGAGACCTGTATCTAATTTTTTTTACTACTTTACTCTCTGAAGACACTTTTAATTATATTTTATATATCAATAAAAAAATATTTATTTGTTTTTATGAAAAAATAACATGTCCTTTTTTCTCTTGCAGCTGTTCACGATACATGAGAAGCCACAAGAAATCAAAGAATTTCTTAGAATTCTACATGTCCATTCACTCTTTTTTTTTTAACAAAAAAAAGATGGTCAGAACCTTATTTGAGTTCAAATTGTAACATTTCAAAATTTAAAATAAAATTAATTTAGATCAATTTAGAGGTTTAATAAATTAATTAAGATTTATATTGGGTTAATCATAGTAATTAGATGGCTATTAGATCCATTGAATTCTAAATGCGATTTAAAATCTAACCCTGAGAGATATTGGACCCTTTTAAATGGACTTGAGTTAGGATTTTCTCGTTCGTGTCGTTAGTCATGTCTCTTGATGGACACAACACATTTTAAATTCTAAATTTGCAAAAACAACCAAAAGCATAAGGAGAGAAAGGAGTTTGAAAAGAGTGCGTTTGTCACAATCCAAAAATTATGTGTGAATGAACCATAACATGAGATAATCCATGTTCATTTAGTTTTTAATAACTAGAAACACTTATTAATGTCTTTAGATTCACAAACCATGTAGAAAACTTGCTACCAAACAAAATCTTATATAATAAAAAAAATGTTAAGTTTTCTTTTTATAACATCTTTCACAGATTGCTCCCTGAAAATTTAACCTCTTAAAATTCTTACAACAGCACAGCCCCAAGATATAACCAAGTGAGGATCCTACCTATAAAATATGTAGAGCATAAATAACTAAGATACAAATCGATTACAATGGCCTTAGGACTATACAATCATGATATAAAGAGACGATATGCAATAAAAGACTTTCCACTTGACTATTCACATAAGTACTTTTTGGGAGTCAACCTCAATTGCAAGCTCAACACTATCATTTGAAGCTAAAAATATTTATCAATAAATAACATCTTAGTCATTAGCATAAGTAAACAATAATGACAGACATATTAAAATTTGAATCTTTGAAGTAAATTGATTTTCAATAGTAAAAAGAAAATCAACTAAATAACAAATCATCATTCTCATTTTTAAATAACTAAGAATATAAGAAAATATGAAAATAATAGGTGTAAAAATTAAAATTAATAAATAAACTCAACAGAGCTTATGTATCTAAAAATGAATGTATAGATTAAAAACTTTATCTTTTATTTTAGGACTTGAACAAAACAAATATAGGCGTGGACACATAATCCACGAGGATGAATAACATATCAAGCATGACAAGAAATTGCAAAACATAGACATAAGTATAAAGCTCACGAATAATAGGCGTGGATTATATCCATGAAACTACATCTTCCATTCCACATGTGTTGGTCAACACACGGGACTAACACCTCTAATACACCATGTTAGTTAGGTATATCATGGCATGCCAAAGGCTAATGAAAGTATTGCTAGCAACCAGTGTTATGTATTCAATCCTATAAAATGTTTATGGTATGCATGTGATCGAACCATTCTTATAATTTGAATTGTTGTTTAATTCATAATGCATAAATGATCTTTTCAACAGTAGGTCATCCAACCCATGCATGTGCAATATTTCAAGAAAACAAAATAACTATAAGAAAAGTTACATAAATAAATTCAAACCCTGTAAAACTATTCACGTGCTTTAACTAGAAAATTTCAATACTATGCGGTATTTAAACACAAGGTATAATAAGGCAGTTTGTTTAGAATAAAAGAAAATCAATCAAGAAGTTAAACATTCCTTTAAATTGCAATAGGATGTTATTTACTTACCTGAGACACTCTCGAATAAATAATTTATCCTTTAACCAATCTCATAAGAAATCACTATAAACTACCCAAGTACTTAAAGAGAAAAGTCATTGTCAAATTTCAATCCAAGCTTCTTCCCCTTTTATTATCGATCTCATTATAACTTTTCTTCATTCTTAACCATCTTCATCTTAATGCTCTTTAAATAAAAATTATACACAATACTTATAACTAACTATAACACATCTTTGACAAATCAAATATAATTATTTTTTATTCATTAATTCAAACTTCTTCATAAATCAAATTCCAAACAATAAAATTATTAGCTAACTCCTCTCATAAGGTTAATATCCATAGCTAAACTTGCGGATGCTAATATGAAGGTCGAACAATTCAAGAAAGCCATAATATGACGCCTTGCAACTATAATAACTAACTACCAACTTTCATTTAAAAAAAAAACTTAGTTTCTTTCAAGCAATTTCATACATCTACTCATAAAAGCAAGCACAAGAATATAGGTATGCCTCCCAACAACTTTCAAGCATTAAAGAAGATCACATAAAAAAAATGAAAAAATCATCTTTGATAAATCCAATCCCTAACTCACAATTACAACTTTATTCATTAGCTTGTCTGTGTAAAATAAAATATCTACTAACCATTAAAATATCTATAAGTGATTATCCTACACTTACATCCATCTCATAGTACATTCAAAATGCTTCTTTTCATTGACTCAATCAATAATTCACACAAAACCTTTATGAGTAATATTTATCATCTTTCTTTCACAAAACATGAATATTAGATGACGCATGTACTATAATCTAATCAATATTTTTCTTTAGTATTTAGTTGCTCATTTTCAGTTTCAATCCCTTATGCACATTTCATCAAATACCTAACATGCATCAACAATCAACCCAAATAACATGTTTTGTAGTTCATAATCCAATACTTAATTAAATTTTATGCATCAATGAGGTTTTACAATAACTTCCAACCATACCCAATTTATTATCTTGCCTCAATTTAGAAAGGGAAGGAAAAAATTACAGATTTTAGTTCTCAATCATTCAACAAAGAAGCAACTACAAAATATTGTAAAAGTACCTTTCCATTTTAGCTCCTTTTCCTTCAAACTTCTTGATGACCAAACACTCCAAACCTCCCCCATCTTAGACGTTCAACAGTAGGGGAAGTGAAGAAAACTAAGGCCCATTTGATACCTTAGAATCAATAAGTGGGAGAAGGAATCAAAAATGGAATCCATATTATAGTGTGTTTGGTATGTTGTAATTACAATTCTCTAGAATCTTGATTCCTACAAAATAGGCAGAATTGGATTCCATCATATATAAGATGAAATCTGATTCTATGATAATTTCATGCATTGTCTATCTATTTTACCCCTTCCTCCATTTTATACCTTCTTCTTCCTTGTGGCATTTCCAGCAGTGGCGACGACAAGGTGACAATCAATGATGACCACATTTCATCGGTGTTGGATGATGACATCCTCCTCTACAATAGGCTTGGCATAAGCAGCAATAGGCTCCTTATGACACTCTTTCTTTCTTTCTCTCTACTACACACAGGTTGATAACTCCATTACTAGTAATGACCCACCTTCTAGCTCTCTATCGACTCAAGGAGTTTCACACCACCATCACAAGTTGACCACTCTATCATCTATTGATAACTCACCTACCATGACCTCTCTCTCTCTCTCTCTATTGCACATAAGTTAACTACTCCATAACCGATGATGACCTACCTTCTAGATCTCCATTGACTCAAGGAACTTCATACCACCATCACAGGTCAACAGTTCCATCATCCATTGGTGACCCACCGCCCATGGCCTCTCTCTCTCTCTCCCCCTGTATGTGTAGGCGTTCTTAGTCTAGGCATGAATATTTAGCAATGGATGTTATATGAGCCATGTTGTCGAGCTCTTGCTTCTTGGTCTAGGTGTGAATCTAGTAGTGTATGAGGTAGATGAGGAAGATGAATTAAGTGGGTCTTAGGGAGGGTTGTGATGCTTGGACATAGGATTTCAACTATGTAAAGGGAGATTTTTTTATTTAGGGATATTTTAGTCTTTTAACATATGGATATGCATATTAAATAATAAATAATACAAGGATTCCATATACATACCAAACACACAAATGCAATCACATTTAATTCTAATTCTATCACACCAAATGAGGTCTTAATCCCCCACACACATCACACATGACGGTGGACGACTGAGTGAGAGAAAGAAAAGCTAAAGATGTAACTCACACACATGATAGTGACAAAAAACCAAGGAGCAGAGGAATCATGTTGGAGAAGAAAAATGAAAAAGATTCAAGAGAACGAGAAGAAAGTAGTGTACAAAGAAATCTCCTATCCCCCTTTCCTATATATCGACCGGTGAGTGGGAGGGTTTCTTCTTTTTTTTTCCTTCTTTTATTTTATTTATTTATTTATTTTGGCATTGACAAGAAAACTAGAGGTAGGGATATTTGGTTATTTAATTTCAAGTAAAATTTTTAAATGATAGAAATAAGGGAAAATACTTAATTAATGGACTAGACTAAATTTGAATCCAAGACTTGATAGAAGATATAAGATGCATTCTCCAACATATTAGAACTTCTATGTTTTTTAACCTATAATTTTAAATATAGATATGAAACAAGAAATCTTAAATAAGTAATCTTATTATCTTTTATTCCTACTATGTTTTGATTTACTATATTTATTAAACTTACTAGGTCAATTAATTATTTATTGTTTATTTTAAGAATCTTTACTTTTTTTGGTGTCATTACAATGTTTTTTCTCTGATAGAGCTTGTTGGATTTGATATTTTGGAGCCCTCTCAAGCTAGGGATTACTAAGGCCCTGTTTGGTAGGAAGTATTAGAAAGG